CGGCCGGAAGAGGAGGCCACCGGCTGTCCATCGGCCATCAATACATGCCACCGGCCAAATATTTGGCCGACCGGCCAAAAATGTAGCCGACCGGCCAAAAATGCCTGAATCGGAGCAGATTCGACTTTTCACCTCGGGTCTTTTAAAATAGGGTTCCAAACCCTATTTTACACATCCTCCTTAGCCGAAAATCCATTCTCTCTCTCTCTAGAGCATTCTCCTCCTTTGATTCTCCCATTTTCGTGCGTTCTAGCCCCCGTTTCGTCGTTCGATTCGCGTATATCTTTGCGTTTCGAACATTTTCATCCAAATATTTCTTCATTTCGGTGCTCCCTTTGCCATTTCCACCTTTTGGGGCTTATTCCCCTCGAGTTTCTCTCGACTCGCGTGCCTTTTTCACTTCCCGGCTTCTCGGGCCACTTTTTCACCCTCTCGGGTTGACTTTTCGATTGACTTTCCACGTTTTCGCCCAGTTTTTCCTTTTTTGGCTATTTTCTCACCATTTTTGACATGGCCGACGATATTCCACAGGGCGGGACTCCCCCGGATCACGAGATGGATCCCGGGGTTGAGCTCCTCTCGTTGAGCGTTCGCCCGTTTGACCCGGCGACCTACCGGCCGGCGATTCATGTGCTACCTCCTGACGGACTTCGCCAGTTTCGGAGTTTCGACAGAGCGATGCCACCAGAGCTCCTCCTGGGTGAGCCTACATCTCACTTATCCTTTGGCGCTTCCGAGGTAACTTTCCTCTCTCTGTTTTATTTTCCGCAATGTAGAATATAGAAACTGCCATAGCTGATTACATCCTTTAACTACTTGACTCAGATACACTGACACACTGTGCACTGTAGTTGATCGCAACCATACTGGCAACTGATATCTGTTTGAGGCTGACATGTGCACACACACTACGTTGGCCCTGAATCACTCAAACGCACCAACACAGTATATACTGCACACACTGTAGTTTATTGTAATCACACCGATACCCGATATCTGTTTGAATCTGAAAAACTTGCACGCATGCTATATTTGTACTGAACCACGCAAACACGCTAACACATTACACGTTGTAGTTCACTATAAACACACCAGCACCCGGGATCTGTTTGAATCTGAAAAACTTGCACGCATGCTATATTTGTACTGAATTCTGAATGCCCTTCAAAACTAGTATATTCAGTATTGCCTCGCAATTATTTGTTTGAAAACAGGGAGATTCCCATACCGTCGCGGGTATGGGAACATTACCGCTCGGGACTGGTATGCTGAGCTTCCCGGCGCGGTTCGTCACATTGTGGACCAAGTGGGCTTTGGCGCTTTCTGCAGGGGATTATCCAGACTCACCGCGAGCAGGCCTCTCCTTGCTGCTCTAGTGGAGAGGTGGTGGGACACCACCGACTCATTCTATCTATCTGCGACGGGAGACATGACGATGACTCCCTATGATTTCTCGATGCTCACAGGCATCGGGGTAGGGGGTGATCCGATCCCCTTCGACACTGATATGGACGAGTGGACTGCCGCTCAGATCCATCTACTTGGCGAGGTGCCACCTCTTGCCCGTCCAGGCTTTGTTCGTTACTCTTGGTTCGAGGTGCAGTTCAGGGTCCAGCCCGCATTGGTGGAGGAGGCTCTGATGACTCCGAAGGCCGTGGAGAGATATGCGCGCGGCTTTCTCATGTTCCTGCTGGGGACGACCATTTTCGTCGACCGGGCGAACACCGTGCCCCTCTGCCTGCTTAGTGCACTGGTGGACGTCAGGAAGATCTTGCACTATGATTGGGGTGGCGCTGCTCTGGCCACACTCTACGGGTATATGAGCTCGGCTTCCCGTGGCAGCAGACAGTTGCTCGGGGGCTACTGGCGTGCTTGGGAGGTACGTTTCTTTCTCGCTTTTCATTTCTGCTTTTCTATCTTCTTTACTCTGTACTGTATTCTGTATTGCACACACTGTAGTCTGCTTTTCACTAACTATATACTGCACACACGGCACACACATACACTCTGCTTTACACTGACTGTACACTGCTCACACTGCACACTGTACACAATACACTGCACAACACACGGCTCTGCCATTTCTGCTTTATTCTGTATTTTGCTTTATCTGATAGTCATATTGATGTTTTCTCTACAGTTGTGGGTGTATGCCTACTTTCCCAGGCTTGCACCCGTGCCAGACGCGGAGACCCCCCTCGTTGTCCCGTTCTCGCGACGCTTCGACGGGAGATGCGTGCGGAGGCCACGAGAGACATTTAGCTTCTTTCGCCACTACTTCGACACTATCACCCCTGCCGAGGTATGTCTTATTTCAGAATTTATCTAAGCTTTGCTTTTCACTGCATATTTCAACAATGATAGATAACAAACTGTATGTCATCTTCAGATCACTTGGCAGCCTTGGGTTCCGTTGTCGGCGACGATTCGGGACCGATTTGCCAGCGCTGAGGAGACCTCGCGTTTCCGGATCTTACTGGAGGGCCCGATCTGTCGGGCTTGGTACCTGGGTGAGCGTTTCCTACGCCAGACCCTAGGGTTACCTGAGCAGATAGTCCCGGTCCACCCTCCTGAGGACATGAGGGAGACCGAGAGACTCACTACCAAGCAGATGGCCGATTATACTATCGGTTGGGAGGTGACCCGCTTCAGAGGCGTCGGCAACTATAGAGAGTACGTGCAGACGTACATCATGCGGTCTCTGAGCAGCGGCCGTCGAGCTGAGGGAGCCAGGCCCGTGGCGCCAGCAGCTGGGGCAGGAGCGGGAGCTGGAGCAGGAGCTTCGAGGAGGGCTCGAGTTCGTGGCAGGGGTGGAGTTTAGGGAGGACGGGGGACCGGTTGGCCTGCTTTGCCCACTTCACTGACATACAGAGGACAGGGTGGGGCGACGTACCAGATCCCCTTTGCTCCTCCCCCGGCTGGTCATGAGTTAGCCGGCATCCCCGACTTGCCTCCGGTATGTATTACTTCATTTTGCATCTTGCATTGGCATTTCATTTTGGTTTATTTGATATTCCGCGGAATACTGATATATCTCGTACTTTTGCAGGCATCCTCCGAGTACACCCGACAGTCCGTGGAGTTGAATGCCTCCATGATGGGGATGCTACAGCGGACCTTCGACCTTCTGGTCCTCTACAGCATTCCGGTATGTTCTTCTGACCACTGTCTCAAACCATTCATACACTGCTTCACATAATCTGATGCACGACACAACACCTGACACACTGATCTCACAGCGTCTGATACACTACATTCTGCACTATACTCTGCACTGATAAACTGCTCACGGCATTCACACATTGTACTCATACACTGCATTCTGCACTGATAAACTGTCCACAGTATTCACACACTGTACTCATACACTGCATTCTGCACTGATAAACTACTCACGACATTCTGACACTGTACTCACACACTACATTCTGCACTGATAAACTGTCCACAATATACTGATGCATTTGCCTTTTATGCACTTTTTCAGCCTCCCTTCCAGATTCCTGTTGTAGGAGGTGCTCCGGCTGGACCTTCCATCCCCGCCCGAGGGAGAGATGAGGAGGGCAGAGTATTCCCCCGCACCAATGCGCTCATATCGGGAATAGTTCGCGGGCTCCAGTCCCTGATGATGATGACGAGGAGCTGGAGGCGGAGGCAGGGTCGGAGCCGGAGTCATCGGAGGAGGAGACCGGAGGCGGCACTAGCTCGGGCTCTGATAACGATGCTGATGATGCTCCTGGACCTTCATCCAGGAAGAGGACTAGGACAGATCGATGCTGATGATGCTCCTGGACCTTCGTCCAGGAAGAGGACTAGGACAGACCGATAGCCCTCGAAGCTGCTTGACATGGATACAGATTTTTGTTGTTTTTCTTCTTTTTTGTACTTTTCTCTTTTGTTGGTGGTTAGGATACTTTGTACTGCCGCAAGCAGATTTTTGTTTCCAAAACTTGTGTATTTGAAAAGATAATGAAACGAAACAGGCTTTTTATCTGAAAAAGTGTTTCCATCCGTATATCTTTACATTTCATACTTTGCATTGCATCACACCATATTACACCTCAATGTAAATGAAATTGATTGGTTATCTGAAAATTACACTTGCACTGTAATAATCAGATAACTAAACAGCCAATAGCAAAATAACCTAAGCAACCCACTGCCTGATTCTGGACACACAACCCTTACTCTATTGGGGGATTAATCTACATACAGCCCGTAACGCAGTATTTGGTTCATTTTGCACACAGCAAATCCTAAACAAGCAGCCCAATCTAACAAGACGGACTACGGAGGTGAAACCAGCTGGAGTTGAAGTACGCTCAGATGCCCCAATTTTTTGTTCTTTTGCTTCGCACAGATGTAGGGAATGGCACAGCACTCTGAGCATAAACGATTTTTGAAATTAAAAAAGGGTTTTCAACCGAGGTATCGAGCCTACAACTGAACACAGCGGGGAGGACTCAAACAAAAGGGTACACAACCTAAACACAACGAGACACGCTCGGAAGAGACCTAAAACAAAGGTTGAGGTAAACAAAACAAAAGACACGATATATAGACACGTTAACGAAGACAGGGGACCTCAGATCACGAGGAGCCAGTTTCTCTGGGTATTGTTTCCCACCCTTTTCTCATTTGTGATTCTCACATCACTCTAGCACTCAAGCTCGGTTTTTCTCTCAAAACCCTTTGGCTCACTTTTTCTCTCAACTTACACCTCTCTATAGCCCCTTCCCATAAATAGAAGAGTCTGGAATAAGTTCTTTCTTGAGAATTGCTGGCATCTACAGTTAATTCAAAGATATGTTTGTGAGTGATTTTATTGTTCTACAGGCCTTTTTTTTAATTGTTGATGTTTTATTATGCTCTTGTTTTAATTTGAATGGCGTTTTATGTTTTAATTCATTAAGCGTTGATCATATATTTAGTTTGTGTGTTTGTAGTCTTATATATGTCTGATATTTGAAGCTTTATTTGTTTGCTTTTGCCATATGATGTTTTTGTAAACAGAGTGGCATTCCAGGCAATATTATGGAAATGAACATGCTTAGAAGTGCTGCTTCTAGTGATACAGGGAAATCTTCTACTTCCCTGGCTCCTGTGCCTTTCAAGGAACAACATCTAAAACAGCTCAGAGCTCAGTGCCTTATATTTTTGGCATTCAGGTATATGGCACTTTCTTAGCTCCTGTTTCAGCCTTTTAATTTATTTTGAATATAGAGTACGTACTAAAAAAAACATTGTAAAAATGATTGATTCTAGATATATTGTTTTCTACATGCAGGAATGGTTTGATGCCAAAAAAATTACATCTAGAAATTGCACTTGGAAACTTTCTTCAAAAAGAAGGTAACTACTACTTGATATTCTATTTTAAGTTTCCCACCATTGCATTTACTTGAAGAATAACACGTGGCACTGCAGATGCACCTCAAAAAGGGCTGATTGACCATAAAGGAAAGGAGCTATCTATTAAGGATCCAAATAATATTCCTCAAGATACAATGCCGCTTGGAAGACCGAATAATGTGAGGAAAACTGAAAGAGTAGCTCGTCCGTCATCTACTGGACTTCTTCCTAAGGCCAACTTTTCAAGAGAAGCTGCTTGTATTATTTGTATATTTATACTTTCATATTTATTTATCTTTTATTTAATTTAAGGTTATGGGTGATAATTATTAAGGTCGCCTAAATACTAAAAAGGCTAATGATGGTTTGGCTAACACCTATCAATTTCCAGTAATTGACGAGTTTCCTTGATGGAAGGAAACTAATAAGGTTTATCTGATAAGGTATCTATCTAATAGTTTTAAATAAATAGGCATATGGTTTTCTATCAATGAGGCACTCAAGTTTTGCACAGGTTAGAAGATACTTATTCCTAAAGTGTGAGTAAGTACTATAATATCAAGAGATTTATAAGATATATACACATCACATAACTTGATCAACAATGGCTGGAGGAGGTTAAGTGTAATTTTATTTCATTGTATATCTATACATATATGATTATATTATGTGTATAATTTTTTCTTAACACAACTATTGCCACAACACAACTCCACCTCTGCTGCCATCTTTACTCTAACCCAAATCGTTACCACTACTGCCATTGTGATCCGTCATTTTATTCTCCCATCGCCACTAAATCAAACCCAAATCAACCCCATGAAATCAAGTCCAATGGCGATGGTGTAACGCAACATCACTAGCATCAGCAGCGGTAGGGTTGCACAATAGTGATGGTGGAGTTGCGCAGCGCCTGTAGCTTCGGTGGTGTAACACCTCATTGTGATCTCTCTATTTGTTTTGCTGTGCCATTCTGATGGTTTATTTTTTATTTTTTATTGTTTTTTGAATTGGGTTGTTCCATTCATTCTCTCTCTCTATATACACTGGTGGATTTGAGTTAGGGTTTGACTTTATTTGGTAGGGATACTGGTAATCTCATTTTTATTACTTATTATTTATTTTGTCTTCGTGGGCTTTGGTTTGGAGTGTTGCTATTAGCAACTGATCAATTATTTTGGACCCTTCATTTCTTCGAACTCTTGTTTATAAATTCTAAAACTCTTAAAATTTATTTTCTCCTTCCAAATGATACCAAAATTGTCCTTGTGAAAACATTTTACTCATTCAATTTAATGCACACTCCCACACCCTAAAGAGCCTCTCTTTCAGAAAACCTAACAAAACTCATGAAAGTAATTATTATTTCATCTCCACATAATTGTTTATAATGTGAGAAAATAAATGTTCGGTTACCTGTTCTCGAACAAATAAACAATGTTTAGGCTTGTGTTCTCGAGTTTCAGTAATATGTTCATTTTTATTATTTTTGCCATTTTTTTAAAAAAAATTTACCCTTATAAGGCCAATCTCTTCTGAGCTAAGAACACCAAGTCGTGATTTGTGAGAAAGGAATCCAAGTCATAGCATGCATGTTATGAATATGAAGTTTCAAGTATAATTTCGAAGAATTGGCGAGCTTTTGGGCTTTAATTTTGCTAAATGATCTTCAATTCATGATGTTATATGAGTTTCTAAGAGTTTTCTTAAGTTTTGGCCCAAAGTAAAACATTTGTTTTTGAAAGTTTTTAAGAAAGCGACAAATCGCTCGCGCCGAAGATAGTGTGGAACCAATCTGGATCAAGCCAGGGTCCTTCTCAGTACTCACGCTAACAAGCATGGTTTCATTGATTAAAGGCTTAGCATGCTTCTCTTTCTCTCAAAATGATCAAAATTTTACAAAACCCGAGGAATTCTTTCCTCTTCGTTTTTATCACCGCAGTGTTCAAAAGGGGTTTTTGAAAAACTTAGGCTAATGTAATGAGTTTAGCGCGCAGGAGAGCAAGCGAGATATACTGTCAGCCCATTCAAATCCTCTGGCACAACTAACTTACGCTGAAAGCAAGCATGAAAATGAGATAGCCACAGCTGTTTCATTCAGATTTGTTGGTATAACGGGCCCCTCGGCAGAAACAGACTCAAAAACAAAAACGGGTAATTACAAGACAAAACGGTGTTCGAGGCAACAACCCCGGAATCACCTGGTATTCTATACAAAGGGGACTGACTCGCTACAACAAGACAGACCCTTAAGCAAAAAGACTGACTCAAGACAAAGAGACAGACTCAAAACAAAAGACTGACTCGATACCCAAGCCAGAATTTACAAAGCTAGCGTTCACAGATGCTCAAAAATACGTGCCAGACGCCACATCCAAAATATACCGAATGTCGCTTGCTGGTGGTTCACTTTCTGATTACGTACTTGCAGTGTCTGCGTCCTCAAAATCCAATAACTGGGTGGTAACGGACTTGGCTGAGGTGGGCGAGAGGATAACCTCGTTGTCAATCAAATCTTGCACCTCATGACGGAGGCACAAACAATTGTCGGTAGCATGGCCTGTCTGCTGGTGGTACGCACAGTACTGAGCAGCATCATGCGTAGCAGGGAGATTCTTCGGGAGAGGCCGAGGCTCCAAGGGTTTAAGGTGTCCCCTCTCGGCAAGGATCTGAAGTGCCTTAGACAGAGGCATGTAGAGAGCATGAAAGACCCTGCGCCCTCGGGGCAGGTATTTTGAAGTCTGAGCGTTCTTACTAGACGCACAAGCAAAAGGGTCGGCAGGCGCCACCTTGGCTTTCTGATCCTTTCCCGGTGCAGGGTTAGGAATAGGAGGAACTGTTCTGGCATGACAGGGCCTATCCCGATTTTCTGACTGGCTTGAGCTACCCTCAGGTGGAGTGGGGAAAGCATCCTCCACAGTTTTTGCCACAACTGCGGATATCTGTTGCTTGTTCATCCCCCCGGCTTTCAAAGCCTCGACTACCCGCAACAGTTGTTCAATGGGATCGGCATATGCCTTCATTTTGTTCTTATCTCTGGCCTTAGCCTGGTCAAGGGTTTGGGTTACTACTTCAGAGTGAAGCCTGGTTGTTGCTGACATGTCGTGGCTGTAGCTGGAAGCCACCTCTGGCTGGCTGAGCTCTATCACAATCCGCCCCAGTAGCGGGGGCTCTTGTGGCATGAAATTCCCGGCACACGGTGCCGCTGGTGGCGAAGCCGACATTCCATAGGCCAGATCGGCCACGGATCTCTGGAGATCACCTATCATCCCCATCAATTCAAGTGTGGTGGGCTCACGAGTCTAATACAACTGGGGGGCCCAGACTGGGTGTGCGACAGGCGACCTAGGCGGATGCGATACATCAACATTGGTTTCATCCCGCGGGGTGATCCCTTGATCTAGCGTAGCTGTCATAACCACAATCTCTTCTGAATTCTGCGTCGTCATAAGTCCTGCCTCAATCAAAGGGGAACACTAGCTATTTTGTACCAATCCTCTGGATACTCTGAACTGAAAGGAAAAACAAACAGCATTTCAGCCCAAACAGATCAACCACAGGTGTAGCCGAACAACTGTACTCTATTGCTGATCACTGTTCCCAAAACTGAACCTGATACCCACAGATAACTGATTCTCATAAACTGATACTGATGCCCTCAGGTCTAATACTCAATCTTGCAAACTGATATGTACGTTCCTGTAGAGATACACTCTAAAAGCACATAACAAGTAAAGAGAGCCCAAAACACCCCTATGTCGGGGTAGGGTTTCCCTGTCCTATTTTGTCAGGAGCTAGGGTTCCACTATGCACGCAGCAGTTTTCAAACAACCTAACATCGGGTAAGCAACCTGTCCTAGCTTGGAATGGTCACTATGGATTTCGATATGCTCGAATGGTCGAAAAGGGTGCCCCGGTAAAACCGGGGTTTATGTTCCCATACTGTCAGAGCCCATAACCGGTCAGCCTTATGGTCATGCCTTGACAAGACAAGCCTCCGGCAAACCGTTCAGGAATGGCAGATGGCAAACACGGTGTCCTAGGCGCACCAATGCACATGCAATGCAAAGAGACACATAAATGAGATCAAAACAGGATATCATGAGTTTGAGTCAAGCTCTCTAAAATCCCCAGCAGAGTCGCCAGAAACTGTAGACGCGCCCGCGTGGGGCCCTCGCTATAGTTCGGACTCGATTTGTGTCACGGTTCTTAATCTAAACCAAAGAGTCCAAATCCGGCAAATCGTTTTGAGAAACAGATTTTTTGAAAAGAAGTGCCAAACGTGGACTGCTTTTCCAGATACAGAGTTGCCACCTAAATATTTTAAAATGGGGGAATTTAGGAAACCCTGACTCGGTGCCAAAGGCCACGTGTTCGTCATCACCAAAGTTGCCTCGGCTCGGGAACTTGGGTACGATTGGGGAAGGTCAGCTATGAGCACCCCCTCTCGCCCGATCTGAAGATCGGCCTCTACTAACCATGATATCCGTTTTTGAAAACGTTATGTGTTCTTAATCCAGTTATTTAGCCTAGAATTACTATGTTATGCGCACAGCAAACAAGTATAGACTAGATCGCCTAATTTGGAAATAAGCATTGCATATCCGCTTGTCTTGAAAAACACTTTGGAATTTGCTACTCGCAAGTAGGCTAAAATACGGATTTCAACGAGTTTTTCCAACTCAGACAATCCAACCTTCACCCACAGGCATTCAAACAGTTTATCACATAAGCATCTAGCCACATAGTAAACATGCCGTCATGATAGCATTCACACGCATGCGATATGCTAAAGCATGAAAATACTTACATCGTACTTCGTGCCAAAACAATAAACTAGTTAGCCAACATGTATGGTCCTAGTTCATGTCAAATTGACTAACGCAACACATACAGGATGCAATTAGAGTAAGCTCGGCTAACCTAAACATGACATGTGAAATGCAATCAATTGATGCACGTATTCAATTTGGAATTGAAGTACAAATGCAGTTAGAATGATGCGCCGAGCCCGGTGCATGCAAGACAAATGTATGGATGTACGCATGCATAGCATAAGGTATGCTAACTTAAATATGACCTAATACTAACCATCAAAAGCAGGTAAGTAAAAGGGAGAAAGAAGTGGGGGTTGGAAGACATGCACACACGCACCCACACTTATTACAAATTCGCCCTCGCTCGGAGGGACCGAAAGAATAATACAAATTAACTAACTCGCAAGCTAATTAATTATTACAAATCACCTAATTAATTAACAAATTAACTAAGCATAAGAAAAGCAATAAAAGGGGCCTCGGGAAGAGGGTTCGATGCGTGCGTGCTCGGGTCTTGCTCGGAAGTGCACTGCCATGCATAGGCTGCCTCTGTTTTCCCTGGTCTGCCTCTTTGAAGACTGCCAAAGTCTCAGAATTGCTTCCCTAGACATTGGGAGACACCACCGGCTGAGTAGAATGACCACCGGCAGTGGTATGTGATCACCGGCTGTTGG